AGTTAATTAAACAAGCTACGATTCTAAGACGTGTCACTGGCAGCCGGCGGCAATGCAAAAGGTGGTCCACGACGACTCGGAAACATGGAAGACGCGACGAATAGTCAAGCCTACTTCTCGAGTTTTCTGTTTCTCAGACATGTAAATCACGTCACGGCGACGTCTCCTGAAATCGACTTGACGAGTAATTACTCATGCACGAGACGCTACTGCTAACACAAAGAAACAAAAGTCAGCAATGATTAAGTATACGTCAGTGTAACGAATAAAAAAATGATACTCCAAAAATGTGAACTATGATTGTGAATATGACTTTCAAATTGTTAAGGTACATGTACATATATTCAGATGTAATTTAACAATGTAATTTAATAATACGCTTCATTTTGTGATGTAAAATAGAAATACAGACAAGTTTAAACGAGTTAAAAACGATATTCAAAATAATTTAATTTATATTCTCAAACAAATATACCGAACCTTAATTAAGAGAAGAGAAAAAAATGTTTGACAAAACTCGCGTTTAATAAAATGGTAAATTCAGCCAGTCTACTCCTTAATCTGAGAAAAATAAATTAAATAATGCCGAACGACCTAAATTACCTTAATTCATCCCTTCAAACAACAATACGTGCAGAGAAAAAGTTTTTTCGAGAATTTATCAAGCATGAAATTAAATTATTCTCTCGCATATCTTTTATTTTTTAAAATCTGTAAATATTATATTCGAGAATCAAAATGCGAAAACATGCGTGCCCTTTAATAAGAACCCTTCATCAAATTCAGCACAGTGCGGCAGTGCGTATTCCAAGATTCATACTTCATCGCAGAATCAATGCGGCGTATCCTGTAAAAAAAAAACGACGACGAAGGGTGCTGGAGGAGAGAGAGTGTAAGCGTGCAAAACGGAAGTGCGGACGTCAAAAAAAAAAAAATGATAAATAAATGAATAAAAATATTTCACAGTGCCGAGGGACTTCAGACGGACGGTGTCGGTATTCGGCGTCCACTATAATGCAACGTTTTCGATTCGCATATCCGGCACGCATCCGAGCCTATTGAAAACAGCCGGAAACGATAAAACAATATACCTGGTCGCGCTCTCGCGAGCCTCGCATCGAAAACACTTGGAAAATGTATTGAAAACACTCGAAAATGATTGAAATCAAACAAGTTACGAGGTTGACGAGCGAGAGAGCGAGAGATTGGGTGGATGGGAGGGTGAGAAAGAGGACTCCATCGGACATCCCCGCATCCCCAAATACACGGGGGTCGATAGTTCAGATCGAATCAACGATTTCGGACGCTGCTCGCTGGCAGGAGATACTATCAACGAGAGCAGTGGCACAGAAGGGTAACTCGACCGCGAATAAATTGGTCGTTTCGGGGTCGGTATATCCACGTCGAGTACTCTATATTTTTGCTCCGGGCTGACCGATCAAGCATCCGGCGGATTATATGGACGCTGATTTTCGTCAGCTCATTCGACGACGTGACGTAATGCAAATGAAAAACCGATTACGAACGTTTGATGGTGCGTCTATCTTTCGGAATGCATTTGAACGTAGTTCTAACGAGGCCACTTCGGACTATCAGTTCATCAACTATAAATAGTCAGAGTATTTATAAGTTATATCCTATCTCAGAATTACAATCTTATAATATTTCTGATAATTATTTGAAAACTATTTGTGAAATTTTGTGCTATGTCTTTACATCGATTTTTACAAAGATCGAGGTGATCAATCTAATAAACATTGCATTGCCACACACTGCAGATATGTTGATTCTTATTCTCTATTTATTTCTAATATTTTTACGAATCAATCGCCCGTATTGTAACTATTCTAGAGATATGCGAAAGCTTGGAGATGATCAGAATATTTTATCAAACGTTCGACGGCAGCCAATTATTGTGCGAATATCGACACAGAAAATGAGAAGATAAAACCAATAAGAGAAATTGTATCATATATTAAAAAAAAATACAACAAGACATTTTAATCTTTTCTGCAGTCGTACTTATATATATGTATATAGAATACAGAAAATTTGTTAAGTTTCATTAATTATCCTCACGAATGATTGTATCACCAATAAATAATAATCTCCCTTAATATCTGCGAGTGTAATAATTATTATTATTTAACACGACAAACTTTATTCCTATTGTTAGTACTTGCATAAAAACTAATACTATAGCGTAACCATTACAGACTCATCGATTAGCCCGTGGACAAAAAGGACCTCGTGTACTCAATGTGGAATAATAAACGTGCCGCAATTAAAACATAAATAATAACGGTTTACATAAATAATCGTCGGTACCGACGGTGGCCGTTAATGAAACGCTGTTAATTATTAGATTTATTCATTAATAATTGCCAGGCGGAGTGATGAGCCGAGCCGATAATTAACGTACAACGTAGCAGAGTGGACGAATTAACGCGCGATGAATCCGCAATTAGGAAAAAACCGCCGTCGGTTCCACACGGGCATTCATGTAATATACAGGCTTATGGAAGCGTAAAATATGGATAAAATCATCGTTCGCGTGTTCAGGAAACTTTGTTTACGCGTTAGGCGGACAATGATTACGCCATTGACGATTATTTCGATAGGGAGTCATTAGGTAAGCTGCCATCATCATAATCTGCTTGTGGATTACGGGCAATCACGCACGTACGCACTAGTTGGCACTTCTCTATTGCGAACAACGCTACGTGAATTTCTGCATGAAACTTGCATCGAGATGTTAATGACATGTACGCATATACGATATTAGCAGTATTTCACAGAGATCGCCTCTCAGGGAAAACAAGAGGAAAGGGTTTAGGCTGTCGCGCGGAAACAGGTGCGATCGCAATAATGAGCGATATACACTTAACCGTTAATTGCTCGTTCTGGAAGCGTGACACAAATAGTACAATCTCTATTATCGCTGTAATCCGAAGCGGCCCTCAATTACATGTGCATTAGAAATTAATCCGCCACGAAACTTCTTAAGCGTTTGATGCACAAACTGCGACAAAATTCATACCGAGTGATTATGTCTAATTAGCAGATAATGCAAACTATTCGCTCGGCAATAATCCCCTCTTCTTATCGATTTGTACTTATAATATATATTTAACTTATCGGCTAAAATCGAATCGTCTTCTCGTTTCCTCATCAATCGGTGTGAACCGACAATTCTCCATCGCGACATCGCGAAATACGAGGCGAGTACAAAAGCGCCGCGTGTATTAATACTTCTTCGCGTCCGCGTCAACTTATTAAGACCAGCTTTCATAGGGCCAGGTAACCGGCGCGATTATTGCCTCGCCCAAAGCGTCCCAATCAACGGAGCGTATTCTTGTATAGACGCTCGTGTCAAGGGATGGATGGGCATAAACGGATGCCGGGGGAGAAAAGCGAACGTAGAGAAATAGAAGATAATTCTCGTTGTGCTGGATGCCCGCGAGGTGTCTGCCACTTCAAAGCCGCACCGCGCGCGCCCAATCGCCTCTCTCACTCGCTCATATTCTCTCTCTCTCTCTCTCTCTCTCTCTCTCTCTCTCTCTCTCTCTCTCTCTCTCTCTCTCTCTCTCTCCTTCCCCCCTACCCCCCTCCTCTCTTCTCTTTCTTCTTCCGTTCCGGTAACCGTAACGTCCGGAACGTTAACTTACCGTTCCGTAACTAGGTTAACCCCCCGGAAACCCCGGGTTACGTTACGGGTTCGGACGGTTAAAGTTAAGTAACGTAAGACCTTCCCGGTTCCGGACTAAGAACGGTAACCGTTACGTCCCGGCCCGTTCGGTAACGGTAACCTACGGCCAACCCGAACCCGCGTTGTAACCGAACCTAATTACCACTTACTTACTAAGGTAAACCGGAACCTACGTCGCAACGGAACCGACGAGTTATTATAGATTAAGTTACTCGTCGCCTCTCGTTCTCTCCTCCTCCTCTCTCTCTCTCTCTCTCTCACACTCTCTTCCTTTCTTTGCAAATCCTCTCATTCTCTCGAGTTACTCACAGATTAATAATTTTCGATAAAATACAGTACGATTTTCACGACTCGGTATTCGCGCGATCGCAAAAAGCAAAGAGGATTGTTATAGAGACCACTATTATAAGATTATTGTATTAATGCTCTTTTTTACAAAACCATCCCCCTTGTATTCGATACATACAATTTTATTATGAAAATTAAGAATTATAAAACAATTCGCAAATTAATCCTGCACGATATTTAAAATGACATTTAACAGTTGACGTATATTTTATTATAGCCATATACGTAGATATGCATGGATTTCATTTTATATTTATTTGATCAAAAAATATTTTTATTCACAATACTAAAATTACCGAATATGGATTTAATGTATGGATTCGATATAATATTATAATATTTTTATTGTTTATTAATATTTCTTAAACCTATAAATAAATATAGAATCTCATAAACGTAGCTATCCAATATCTTAGCCATTATCAGTGACAGCGGATACAAATAACTCACCGCAATATTTATCACGAACGAAGCATATATCCGTCCAGAAAAAGATGGTATATCAATGTCATAAATTACAAATAAGGGCGCAGCATAGCTGCCAACATTATGGATCGCACGAAAATGTCACATCAATTAAAAATCTACACGATAGACGCTAGTCCTTAGCAATATGCATATCAACCCAATATATCAACGTGATACGCAGGGAAAGGAAAAAATTGACGAGAATCATGAGTAACCGAAGTTGCTTTTACCACCACGTGAGGGTAGTTTCGTCTCGAGTGGCGACATCTCTCTCGGTCCGCTTATTGTCGAGCACAGCTGATGTTCGCCAATAGCGACAACACAACAAACGAGGCAAGCCAGCAATTCTCCGCCGTCACCACGACGAATTCTCACGACGGGTAGACATGCATTCGGGTACTATCGTCATTCTCCTGGACGGCGACGAGCGCCATCGCGTACCTCTGCCCTCACTCAAAGTGCCTCGCTCGCTCACCTGAACCATTGATGTGTGCTGGCACGCGAGACAGACCTCCTCCCCTCTCGGTGGCGGCGGCAGCAGCCTGATGGCGTAGTCGGCCAAGCCGGATTGACGCTCACCGTACATCCGCCGTCGCCGATGGTACCATCGACTTGGTACGTCCGTACGATGGACGACGACGCGCACACTTCGCGCGCTGACGCTAGCCGACGCGAGCTGACCGTTCGCACGACCCCCGATCGCACGAACGCACCCTCGCGCGACCACGCCCGCGCGTCCTTCCCGCCACGCGCGACACGTCAAAGGGAAACCTCGGGGGAAAAAAAAGGGAAGACTCGTGCGTTTATTTACGGATGCTAGGCCTTCGCGTTGTCTGTCGGCGTTGTAACCCTCTCTTTCTCTCACTCTCGCGGATGCGTGCGACTCGCGGCGTGTCGGCGGGTTAATTCCGCGCATGCGGCAAGCGCGCGCGCAACCGGTGGATCGATCAACCCTTGCTGTGGGTAACGCCGCGCGGTCTCTTGTTATCTTGCTATAGAGGTTCACCACCGCGATAGGAGTGAGAATAAGTCAGCTATTGAAATCTTCAATCAAGAGTCCGGACATCTTCGGATTTTTATCGATTGATTGTTTCACTATTAATGAATCAAATATGGAAAAAATTTCGAAAAATTCAAAAAAGAAATTTAAAGAAAAAATTAATTTAAAAAAAAATGAAAAAGTTTGTCAATAATAAATATATATTTTTATAATACCTAACAAAATAAATACCGTCATTACTTGATTTACTGTTTAGACTCTTGAGCCAGCTTTAGATAATCCATAATCTAAAAGAAAATTCTTTTATAATTTTTTATAATTTTTATATAATAATTTTATATAAATATTTGGAAAAATAATAAGATATATATATATATATATATATATATATATATGTATATACGTATAAATGTAAAATGCATATATATATGACAAGAATAAGTACATGTAATAAATACATATAAATAGAATTCTGTTCTAATATTTGCTTTGTAAATTATAAAGATTTGAGAATCTTCAAATAGAGTGAATTAAAATTAAATGGTTGAAAGTTATTTTCTGGAGATTATACAATATAATATGCAAAAATGACTTTATATATACTTTTTGGTGATTTAGCAGGAAATCGCCTAATTATATTTCTTTAAATTTGTATTTAATTTATATTCTATATATGCATTATATGCATTGATCAATATTTACTTTTTAAAGTACATAATTTGTGACTATAAAAACGAATAAAATATGAAAAAATAATGAAAGAAAAATGCCAGCTGTCTACTTGATTACACTTATATGTGTTGTTTTCTTACATCAATTACTCGTCGATTTTTATAAAAAAATTCTACAAAATCAGAGGCGTGCAGTGCGATTAAAATGAGAAAGATATTAAAATTTTAGTGCCAATAAATTGAAGTACAAATAACGTGGGCGGCTCTGTGCGAATCTTGCGAAAATAATTTTGCCCGCGGGCGATAAATTGTTCAGGAACAGCGCTTGATTATAGAAGCGTAATAACGGATTTAATCGTGACCGTAGCGGTGAAATCATCTTTCCGAATAACAGTAGCGCGTTTACATATTCAGGAGAACGGCCGTATAACATGGGCGAACTTTACAGTCACTGATTTTGCGGATCTTTAAGTTTAACTGAACTGAAATGCCGTGGATCATGTCCGATAAAAATGTTCTTTTGGTGCTCGCGTCGGCTTCAGTCATCTCTGCTGTTCTTGGCAAGCGCTCGTTTTCCATGCGATCGTTTACGTGGAAAGAAAACGTTGAATAATTTCAGTACCACGAAGACAAGTTTGCTGTACATAACGATTACATACATTACATACCCGTCGGTGCATAGAAACGTACATTATAAAAGAAATAGAATAGAATAAAAAATTCTTAAAAGATATGTAAAAAAAATGTAGAGAAAATGCGATTTGGAAATGGAAAAGTTAACGAGTACAAAAAGTAATATCCTTTTAGAATTTTATATTCTTTTAATTTAAAGCGAAAAGTTGTGATGCATAAATCAGTTCGATAGAGTAATCCATTTTCCTCTCTCCCGACGATTGTTAAAATTTCAATCTCTAATAATAATGCATCAGGACAGTCTCGACTTTAGAAATATTTTGTAGCAGTCGCTACAAAACAACTCTATACGTACGTTCACGTTTACGTTCATATGTATCACCATCGTGACTCTCATCGCGACATCAAGGGGGTAACGATATGACAGGCATACGAACCAGCGGATAACATTGAGTGAATTATTTATTTGGATGGAATTAAGTTTAAATATTTTATCCTCAAACTAATCTCCCGGGTACGAGCAATGTATTTACGGGTACCTCGTCGACCCGCCAACCGACAACATAAACGTTCGTGCGACAATGTGTGAGTGGAAGAGTTCTTAACGGGATCCACGACCGGGTCAACTTGCAAGAAATTCAAATCGCGACATAATTAAAAATAAAGCCTCGAAAATAGATGATCGATATTGCGGATTACTGCGAGATAATTATTAAAAATTTTTTTAATCGAATTAATTAATTATATATTTATATATTCACTAAAGAGAAAAAAATTAAATATTTTACACATAAAAAAATGTATATAAAAAAATTTGAAAAAGTAAAACTAAATTTATACAGTGGCCGTATTTAAAATTATTATTAAGATATATATGTTATTAATCTTTAATATAATTTTTCTACAAGTTTATTTTCTAAAATATTTATATTAATACTTTCGAATCAATGAATTTTTTAAATTAAAGTAATAGACTTTCTTTTCCAAATAAATGTTACATATAAACGCTGAAAAACAGCTGATTTAAATTAATTGAAAATACAACAGACAAAATATTTGAAATAACTTTAACGTGCATATATAATGATAAATATTTTGCTGGTGTGCGGTCTTGTCCTTGGTGTTTGTTTTGTGACGTACGACGTTGGCATATACACAAAGTTGTGCGCTATTCTCCTACTGACACTTGAACAAGCAGGTAATGGTGCGCGCTGCTCCGTGTATTGTTTCTGCAGATGTAATCACAAGGAACGAAAGAAATACCAAATACCTTGAAAGAGATGCCAAATGCTTTTATATTTTACGATCGTAATAAACGATTATTATCTTATGTAATTAAGTGCAAAATATAAAATTATCACTTTTTATAGAAATGTATATTTCGAACAGCGAATTTCAAATCGACACATCCGATACGATAGTTCGTGTTTTTCGTTAATTAAAACAATCTGGTTTCTATTCTGAGATTGAAAGCGCAAAGAGTGAAATACACGAATCGGTGGACCAACTGATTTAATTAACAACGGGTCATTGAGTATAAATCGGGAGTTATTTTCATTAATCTATGCAAATATTATGTACGCTAATCCATTTTCGAATAAATCGAGATAAATCTTAGATATAATTTTTGCGCGGGATGAGATTCGGCGAAATGGTTCATTTGCACTGATTCCACCGATCAATTCCGTCCTCTTCCGCTGAAGATTCTTGCTTGAAATTAATATGTCACGAATCATTCCTCGACTTAAAAAAAAATACCGTTCAATAGAATTCCAATATGGATTTTAAACCAGAGTTATGCAAAACATCGCGAAAAAAATATTTTTGCATGTAGTAAAATGTGTAAATTCTGTTGTAGTGAGTGCAGTGAGTGTTTTCATAAGTGTTTTCAAATGTTATCGCGAGTGCAATGATTTGACAATCCTAATACTTTAAAAAGGAGGTTTAGGAAGAGCATTAGAACAACTTGAGGTAAATTATATTTAATTTATTATTTGCATTATACATTATACATAATTGCATTACTAGGTTTGATTATTTAATCTGTTTGGGTGACTTAAATAGAAAGTAGAGAAAAATGTTTATTTTATAAATATTATATTTATGAAAAAGAAAGTTTTAGAAAATTATATAACTATCTCATTAAATATTTCCTTGGGAAACGAATATGGAATTCAATACGAATATGGATTTCAGTAGAATAATTATTTTTTTAAATATTAATCATTGTAGCCGTTGAAATAATTTGAATTTTATATTTGTATATTACAGAATCAACATCGACATAGCCGATAACTCTGCCCTTGCGTATCGATCGGTGAGTGATAAAGTTATATTTTATACTGAGGTAACATATCTGTGAAAAATTATAT